TAGAAATTATACTCTTTGTATCAAAGATTGCATTGCTGATCTTATTCTTTACACCAAAACGAAGCATTTATTCACAGCAGATATAACAGGTGGTGACTAGTAATTATCTAGACAAGTCTGATAAAACTCTATTGTCGTATATTACAAACATTACATTTAAGTCAATGGTCACAAAATACAATAATCCAAAAATAATGTCAAAATCTAATAAGAATAAGGATGATATAAACGAACTATACTCATTTGATCTACAGCACGCTATCACGAAACTAGACAATCAGAACTAACTGCAAGATTGCAGCCTATATTCTGAAACATAACCTTGTTTAACTATCAGTTATCACTCTATCAAACCACAGTTTGAAACTTAGTGTCAACTCACTTTCTTTCTCTTCAATTTTTGTAGCATCCTACCAAAAACTAGACGCCCATATTTCATAATTTAAGAAGAAACGCGTATGTAAACTGAGTCACCACCATATCTACATAATATGGACACTCCCAGAAGCATATTCTTTACTGAACGTTGTTCGCGTGACTACCACAACCAGCCACGATACTGTGGATAGCTTGGATCAATATCCAAGCATGCCAGGTGAACTTCTAATATAACCGATTTTTATTTCAAGGACAATATGGCTAATACTATCAAAGAAATTGGGTTAAACTGAGCAAAGGTTTTACTTTAAAATTTCTTCCAATAATTACCATTATTATTAAACTGGCTATATTCCGCGGCTTAACCTGTAAAGTATCCTATGTGCTAAGATGTAAACTACCTGTGTATCAAATTTCATTCAAATCCGTTCAGTATTTTTTTGCATGAAAGAGTAACAAACATACATTAATCCATCCATCCATCCATACTTACAAACTTTTGTATTTATAGTATTAACGGGGTGATATTTTATGCTAGATAAAAAAAAGACAATTTAAATCGTCAAAATTGAAACACTTAATAAAATGTCTATGATATTTTTAATAAATAACAACTAGCAAGATTTTCAAGATAACAAGACTAGACAAAAACAAGTTCAAACAGAATTAAAATAGAAGCAAGAGAAATAACGATGAACTCGTAAAACGCCTAGAAAGTTGCGACAACTGAGACATTTCGTTTCGTATATACACAACAAACCTATCTAAGAATCTTATCACATTTTAACAAGTGAATTTCGCTTCGCAAAAAAACAGCTACTTTGTGACAAAACACAGCGATGTACGACGAGATATTTCGTAGACACAAACATTAAAAATATTTTAAATTACAAAGCCGAATCGAATGTCTACAAATGTATAGATTTTGACATGCAGATAAAAAAAATATATTTGCATCTTAAGCATACACATCAAATTACAGTTTCAAAACAATCAACAATAAACAGTACAAATAATTTTGGAATATAAAATAAAGCTTATAAATATACCTAAATGCGTGTGCCTCAACAATGTAAAAAGACTAAGCTCAGGATCGAATTTTACTCAAAGAGAAAAACATTGATTTTCAGTTATGTCTGCAAGAGATAAGTCCGAAATTCAAACAATTCTTGACATAGGAAAAAAAAATAAAATTGCAAGCTTCACTTTTTACTTCGCAAAGTAAACCGTTATTTTAAATTTATAACGATTACGTCATAAAATTAATATGAAATGAATACGGAAATAAACCATCTCCTATATAAAAAGAATTATCAATATTGACGACTATCAAAATAGGATTAGATTGATTGACATAGCTATAAAAAATATAGGAGAAATAAAAAATTCCTCCTTTTATAAGTCGCTTAAAAAGCGTCAATTATTAATAACATTTATAAAAACTGAAATATTTACTACGGCGCATTCTACTTGGCTCTTTGCCAATGTATGCCAATTACAATCAGTTTACTATTTCTTAATTCCAATCAATCTATTACACATTTAGTAACTCCATCAAACGAAACAAATTGCCCGCACGGGGCATAATCGTTTAGCACGATAAGGCACGGTTGCCTAATACTGATCTCCTTTGATTGAAACAAAAATAAACAAAGAAGTCTCATTCTGAAGATAAAATATCAGGGAAAGATAAACAAACTGTGTCAGACTGTTATTTATATTAAATAATTAGTCTGCGAATACCGGTTGGTGTGTCGTAAAGGTTATATTTTTTGTTCAATTTTCGACAGTATCTATTTGTCGAATTTATATTTAACTGTACTCCCTATATTTTTCAAAAATAATGGAATAGACGCCAAATGCAACTTTATTTATTTTTATTTATTTATTTACACTTTATTGCACCAAGTAAAAAGAGAAATAACAAATACAGTAAATATTAATGAGAAGTGATACAAAAGGCAGCCTTATCGTTAAGCAATCTCTTCCAGACAACCTTTGAGTAGAGGACATTGAGAAAAAGACAAAGAGTAGGTTTGGTTATGTCTTTGATCGAACAGCTTATCTAATGTGAACAATAACTGGACGATTCGTTTCTACAATAATCGAATTAGGTACTAGCATTTTATTACGAAAGAGTGGTTGCACAGGACACAGAGCACTCTACACTATTTATGGTGCTGTTTTTACAACACAGGGGGCAAACGAGCATACGGCTCACCTGATGGTGAGTGACTACCGCCGCCCATGATCACTCACAACACTAAAGGCATTGCAGGTGTGCTGCCGGCCTTTTAAAAAGGAAAATACTCTTTTCTTGAAGGTTATAATGTCGTATCGGTTAGGAAATACTGCTGCTGGAAGTTGATTCCAAAGAGTGGTTGTGCGTGGAAGAAAGTGCCTTGAAAAACGTCAGTTTTTTTCAGGCAGACCAATAACCTGTTCGCTATTCTGAATTACTTGAAAAACTATATTATATTTTATTTTTTTAGAACTTCTCATGTACGTGCAAGCTTTTACAAAACCAACAAAATGTATTAAAAATATAGAAAAATCGTATATTTTAATATATATATATATATGTGAAGTAACATATAAAAAAATGTACTTTCAATCATTATTCATTTTTCGTAGACAATAATTATATAATACAAGTCCAAATCTTGGTCAATTTTACATATATCTCAATTCCTTTATTAAATGAACAGTGGTAGGTAAGGTATTAGGTACATAAAGTGTCTAGGCAATATTGTATAACAAAATATTGTACAGTATTATCTAAAGGTACAATAAATTTTACCGGGTGTCGTATAGCTAGGATCGTATTTCCCGGACACGACCGCTAAAAGGTAAAACCACTCCACAGGAGATATTGTTTAAATAAATTAAATATATCAAGCTATCATTTTGATCGCAGTATTTAGTTTCTTTTATAACATCTCTTATATATTTATAGGCAAAAGTCGAGAGGAATTTAAAAATGAATAGAATAAAAAATGAATACAAAAAATTTCCAATCTACGTAATTCTGCATTAGAGAAATCAATATTTTGCTCTAGTACTGTAAAAGACACTACATATTGCAATTAAAAACAAACACATTTAAATATTTACTTACGTATACCATAGTTTATTTATGTCGAACTGTGGACAATTAACAGTTGAAATGACGGTGATGCTTTATTTATATCAGTTGAAGGCAATTATAAACAAACTAAATTTAATACCGCTAATGTTTTTTCCCTATTAATCTTTTCTACACAGATTAACGTTAGTTCTGTTATTACAATTCTAACGTGAATCTGTTAAATAACACTTTATCAATACGTATGAAATGCTAAATTAAAAATAATATTTTGCTTATAAAAAAAATGGTCATTAAACGATTTGTAAAAATTGTTAAGATATTTAACTTTCAAGTCCACTCATTAATATCGCCACGTTCAATGTAATTTTATCAATGAAACTACATATTCAAATTAAGCAACAATTGATGCTAAATAATACAGCAAACAAACAAACGTTCGTTCAACAATAGTGAAAATAAGCGTGAGAAGCGACTAAAGTGGAGGGGCGTTGACATGCACCAAGCTTGGCACTGTGGAGAAACTTCAGTTCAGTCAAGTGCACACAGGGGTCAGATAATAAAGAAATCTCTGTATATAGGTACATGCATACATACAATTACTTGACCGCATACTTCAACAAAACTCGGGAATTTCTGGACATCTAATAGATTGACTAGAAAATAATGCTATTAGCATGAAGTCCATCTTTTGTAACATTTTTTTGGTGAATAAAGGTATAAGATATTCAAATTTGGACAATTGATTACTTATGGAGTGAAAGATAAGCTAAAAATGATTTCGGGAAAACCTGGAGACTACAAAAACAGATAAAAAAAAAACAAGAATCAGCTAGTATTTATATGAATTGAGCGCCAAAGAAACCGCGAAGAAAAAGCAATAGTTTATATTAGTATCGACAGGACATGAATAAATCATGATTTAAAGTAAATTTTAGACAATTTTAATAGAATCATTTAATGTCAGAAACAAAAAAAAAAACTTATAGATACATTAGTAGATTTAGTGTTTTTTATCAGTAACCCGGCTGCAATTTGCAGCATTATCAGTTCCTCTCACATCCTGGATACCCTTAAAGTAACAAAAAAATACGAGTTCCTTATCCCAAATTATAAAATGATATTTCACCTTTCCGTTACTACGTAGTAGGATAGAAAGATTATCGTTAGGGAAAAGATGGTGATATCGCATCGATAGCGATAGAGAACATACATATTCCTCAAATAAGTTTAATCTTTATCAGAATGTTTATAAAAATTACTTACTAGATGATCTGTCAAAAGTCGTTTTGCTCACAATAGGTTATTTATACTCATCGTTTATAAAAATTATCCTGTCTCTCAAGCTGGACCAAAGCATCGCCATTTACAAAATTTCATTAAAATCAGTAGATTGGTTTCAGATATTATTGCGATTTTCACACATCCACCGACCACAACAAATATCATAAATCTCCAATACATTTCAGTAATTGTTCATATTGAGTAATTAAGTTGAATGGGTGGTAAGTTAAATATTATTGAATAATCGGCTTACCTCATGATCCCTATAAAAGGGCTCCTGGAGGTTCTCCGGGACCCTATTGTTAAATGCCTTGGACAACAGCCACTTGATCGACGCCCGTTGCTTTGACTGAAACAAATGAAAAAGTTCTGGTTGAAACATCTTAAAATCTGATAAAAACAGAACTTGTTTGTTCAATGTTCGGTACTCTTGACTAAATAAGATATCTATATCTAAATAAAGTTAATTCAGGGAAAATAATGTTTCTAAGTGCCACCCACACAATTAGCCGTCAGGAACAGAAGATAGCTAAAATTAAGTATATTAATATGTTATTTACAGTGCTAATATGTTATTTATAGTCCAAATGAACTATAACGAAAAAATCACTTCAAAAATGTTTAAATCTATATTTACTTAAATAAAAATATTTCTTTCTTTCTATAATATTTTTTTTGGCCTTTTTTACTTTTTGTAAATAAATTTTGTTATAACAAAATTGACTTCAAACTAATATTATAAACAAAAAAGATTTTTATATGTAATGGATAAACTCAAAAAATACTTCTCTATCTTTCAATGGAAGTAAACTTTTTTTTTTCTATTAATTCATTCCCATTAACCAGTCTTGGATTGTTAATAATGTTATCTAAATCTAAAGCGATTTGATCGGCAATTAGAATAGAAGCAAGTTGGAAATTTAAATCTTAGTGTCGAATTTACGCTAAATCTACTATCTAAAAATTATAAAACAAATTACCCTGCATTTAGAGCAGACTACGTGCAATTTGTCTTTGGCGTGGCGTTACACATTTCGAAAGATTTGAGTGTATTGAATGTCGATTTATTTATAGTTCCTGTACATGCGTTATGCATTCACTATTGATATATTGAATTTGAAGAACATTGCTGTTTTATTACATGTATTATAAGTAACTGAACGATACTCGTAGAGTCTTATACACATTAAAATAACATATGTCGAATATCCAAGAACCTTGCGATATTGGGAACAGTACTACCTTTAGCATTATATTGCATACGCCCTTCCAATAAAACTAGGTTAAATTCAAAACTAAACTACACCAGATCCTGGAGTTTACATCACAAATCAATAAATTTAATCCATGCTTTAATATAAATCATTTTCGGAACGAAATTTCTAATTGTATTTTGCTTTCTGTATTAATAATAGAGTTTCAAAACTCACAGTGATTATTATTACAAAGAATTGAAACGTTTTCTTTGAATCTCACAATCTGAAACTAAGTTAATAGATACTGTAAACAGAACAAAAAATCTACACATGACAGTAGTTCTAATTGTAACGGAGCGATCCATCGTTCGTATCATGGAAAAGATGAAGATACTACGAATGTTATACAAATGTGTGAACTAGATAGCAGCAAATCAAAGGCAAGGGAATACTTCTTTAGAAAACAGGGGCAAAATTAGCAATATGAACAATTAGCTGTATCTTGCGACTTTACCCATAGTCATATCATATAATCTTCTTCAAGACATAAACTACCAAATGTAAAGATATTTTCAAATCTGACTGTTAATTCTAGAGATGAGCGCGCTCAACCAATCTTTTTTGCTTTATTATAGTCGTTTAGTATAGATGAAACGAAAAACAAATAGAAGACATTCGAAACAGCTATGTACAAGCTATGCAACAGATATATAGTATCAAAAGAGTTTGTAACGGCCAGCCGCCAAAAGCAATTATCGAAGATTGAAGTATAGAGGTATGGTAACATTTCTCGGGAATGTACCGAGAGACCAATCCCGACGATGCGGCAATTCACATTAACAGACAATTAGGAATGCTATTATCGGACTAGACATCAGGACGTTTATTAGTAACATATTTGGCACGTTTACAATTTGTTTAAAAGTAGTAATGTCAATATAAGCGGGGACTTTGTTTTATTACTTTCTTGAAGTACTTTTGCATTGTGTTACTTTACCTGATAGAAAATGACAGCAAGAACTAAGATGAAAAGCGCTTAACGAACTCATTTTAAGTATAGTATCTGACAAACAGTAGCCGAACATCCCGTGCCTGCAAAGACCTCAACTCGGCCAAGTTTCAACGTAAATAATTATCGTAAGGCAAGCAGTCGCATTACTATATGTGCATGCGACAACCTGACGCTTGCTAATGACGGTTACATACGTTTTTTCAGAAGCAGTTAACTACGTACCATTACCGACAACTTGCATATAATTCCCATCGAGCTAGTACAATCGGTAAGAACAGTTTTACGAATTAAAAGCGTAAAAGAGAATAAATAGAACTGAATTTTTAACGAAATTCAAAATTTTCAATAAAGTATAATAATATTTTTTTTAATATGTAGTAATTTCGCCGAGAAGCGTATATTTAAGATGAAACAATATATAAGATGACTGCGACTAATATTCAGATATCGTCTACCCATACATATAAATTGTACTAAATGACAAAATCATTTCAATATAGATAAATTTGGAAAAGCGACGACAAACTCATTTATTAATAATTAATAAATTAATAACAAATTGGTGTAACATAATGATGTTAAAATTTAATAATTAAAGAGTTAGAGAAGTAACTACGGAATTTCTTGTGGTATCATCATCATTTCTTGTGGTATCAAGTGACGATTTAGAAGAGCTTGCCTATATAAACAAAGATGTCTTCTATTATTTTATAGTTAGTTATTAAGGATGACAATTTCTCTCTTAACGCAATATAAATGAGAGTACCTCCAGATTGGATATTTAATGAGTGACAATAAAATAGCAATCCTGCCTGTGCTATCGGTATACGCTAGCGGTGTACGAGTAGGAGATGATAGGTCCGGATGAAAGCAGGTCAGTTAGCCCATCGTTACGAATTCCACAAGAATTAATCGCGATGGTTCCATAGGGAACCACGTAGAGGTCGACCTGATAGGGCATATTGCTAGCTGTTAGGTCAAATTCCTAACAAACCCTTTACCCCTGATTGGAAGAGTGTCTGTAGTGTCTATACTTCGTAAACATTAAAAAAAAAAAAGAAATCATTTAGCAATTCTGGCATCGATCGTATAGCATTGCTGGCGATCGCATTGGGACAATAATTACCAAGCGTTATGGCAACGTCCGCTTATTGTGATCGCATTCATCAGTAAGTGGCCACCGAACTGGGTCCTTGCCCTAATTTGTTTGTCGTTCTACGTTGCGTTGATGAAAAGCGTCGATTTAAAATTTGAATACGAGCATTTATTATATTCCAACTAGGTAAACCAGCAAACTTTATTGTAGTGGTCAACTTTATCGCCACGTACCGAGTCCAACTTTTCTTATCGGAATAAAAACTATCCTGTGTCTCAAGTTGGAACAAACAATACATGTTTATTGAAACATACAACATTTAATGAAAATCATTAAAACTATTTAAAGTAACGTAACTAAAAATCGTGACATGAGATTTTTATCTATTTCTTCTTATAAGAAGAAAAAGCAAACTGAAGTGGCAATGGGCTGGTGACATAGCTCGAAGAACTGACAACCGATGGGGAAAAAGGTTCTTGAGTTAGTGGATGCAAGTGGCTCAGGGCCGTTCCTTATGCCAGTATACGGAAAGTCCTAATGTCCAGCAGTAGATGGATAATGCCTGAAATGATGATAATGAAGATTTAAAACAATTTAAATAGTAAGTTTAAGGTCTCGTAACTTTTTTCTGAAGAATATGACACAGGCACTGCACAGTTGGAAATTTTGGACGAAATGTTAATTCAATTCAATTCAATTCAATTTATTGCATTCTACAATATTATTATGAAATATGTTAATAATGGATAAAGTACATTGTAGACCCTGTCGGGCACAGCAATTAGAAGCGAGGAGGGCGTTAATCCTTAAATTTTCATAGAGATTTAAATAATTCAATTTCAATTTCATCAATTTAATTAAATTCGAATTAATTTAAATTCGAATGCTGAAGACATGACACTGTTGACATTATATAAAACGTAAAATTTAAAACTCCTCGACTATCCCAATTTTAAATATGATTAAATAATATTTTTATATACAAAATTATTACAAAAGAAACTATAACTCAGAATTAGGTTAACACATGTTTCATTGTTATAACACAGATGAATATACATACTTAAATTACTCGTAATAAATGTCAATATTTATATAAATACCGCGACATGATAACGATATTCATTAAACATATTTGCTTTACTGTAAATAAAAAAATTCAAAAGCTATAGTAAACGAGGGTAATGGTGGCATATAGTTTTCCTAGTCATATCAGTCAGAAAAGGATGGTATGGATCCATAGATTTACGCTAACCATCTCAGTTAGAGTCGTTATCATTGAATGCTTTTTTTTTTAATGTACTATAGCACAGCACGGTACAGAATTTTTATGCACCTTAGAGTGACAAGATAACTGACTATTCACCTGATGGAATGTAGTAATTGTCATTTGAAAGTATGAATAGCATTAGAGTTATAATAAAATACACAGTGACGTCCATCGTAACCGTCATGCAGGACTATTCCTGACAACTATGATTTTATGCTTTCGTACCTTCACTATCAGATCTTACCTTTTAAACGAAAATATATATTTTGCACGAGCAAGTACAATTGCTTGGCGGCAGAAAGACGAGTGGATCAAAGATAGGGACCCATCATTATATCAACTGTTAACTGTTCACAGCTGAACATAGAACCTCCCTCCTCCCCCTCATTGAGGAGTTTTGCTAGTAGTTACCACGCCTGGCAAGCGGGTTGCAAAACTGCAGTTAAGTTTTGGTGATGTTTTAGGAAGGACGCTGATGCCCATCTTTCAACCATTAGGGACCTCTGCAGATGACTTTTTTACAGACTTCCTCTAATATATATATATATATATATATATATATAAAGGTTATAAGACCACATCCTTTCTAATTCAGCAATAATTAAATAATCAGTTAATAAAAGTGACTCTTAACATAAAGTTTAAAACTTTCATTTTCTTCAATAGGTATTACAAAAGAATTTAAATTTAAAAGGTCATCAGAGAACTAAGAAAAACAAAACAGTGTAACAAGTTAAGCCTGCTCGTATACTATTTGCAAGATAATTAAACACGT